GAGCTAGTTTTGGGGTAGGCAATAAGAGAACCAACTTGAGGACATCATCCTGCTGTAGATTCACTAGTTCATTGAAGCATTGGTAGGAATGAGCAACCCGGTACGTTTGAGTCCCATTCTACTTTCAAAGTGTAAACTATTGGACTAGAGTGCTAAATGGGATTGATTAAGTGACCATCTGGCAGCTCATGCGGTGGTGTGGGCTATTAATGGTAGCAGTATTGTATATGATCATAATCTGAACCCTTGTGGTCTACCATATTCCTCACATCTCTGTCAGCATGAAGCTTATTGACCTACTGTAGTTCAGTGAGGGTACAAAAAGAACATGCCTGGAGCAGCACTAAACGTATTTGAATATGAACTGCTAACCTAGTGAAGGTTCAACATAGGAATAGAGCCTACTAAAGAGAAATGCAGCTTGATGTAGATGGAGCTCTGTAATCTCAATGGCTGATAGAACAAGTGCAGCCTTTCATGTGCAATCATGTATAAGCATCTAATGAGGAGAGTTAACAAAAGTCCTCTTCCATATATATAAAACCAGATAAAACTGAGGCGTTTGCAATCATCTTTCTTGCAGAAGTATGACATTTTTGATCTTTCTCAGTCGCCTTCTTAAATCCCTATGCTTGTTGATATCAGTGTAAAATAAACTTGGTCGCCTCCACGTCAAGAAACAGCTGAGTGTGGTGAACACAGCAAAATCCATCTGCCCTGTCAGAATTATTTCAATATTCGGAAGCCTGTAGTCATAAGAAAATATTGGAAGAAGATGCCAAAAAATGCTACTTTCCTGCTTTTTCTCAGCAATAACCAGCTGCCTCATGCTTGTTTTGGGCTCCAGCAAATCATTTGGCTTCAACATCATCAGAACCTTGGACCAGATGTTACATGAGCTGAATTCTTATGGCGAATCTAGAAAGACGTTCTTGACGTTATAACTGTATCTTATTGGACGTGGTGCCAAGGAATTGTGGTAAAACCCAGGATAGTAGGAAATGGAGGAAATTCATCACAGGCTGGAATCATACCTATCACAAGAAAGTTGGTTGTGATTTTTGGAGGCCAATCATTTAAACTGCAATGTGTCACTGTAGGACTTCCTCAGTGTAATATCTCCATGAATGACATTCCTTCCATGATGAGGTCAGTTAGGGATTGTTTCCTGATGATTCCACAATGGTTAATAAAACCATTGTTTGTGAAACCAGTCAGTGGACTGGTCCAAATTCAAGAACTCAGTGACCAACCTAAGTGAATGTGCCAGTATTGTCACAGACTTCATCAGTAAGTGTGTAGAGGACTATGTGCTAAAGAAGTTAATCCGAGTGTCACCCAACCAGAAACCATGGATAAACTGGAAGATCCACTCCCAACTGAAGTCCAGGTCTGAGATGTTTAAGTCGGGTGACCCTGACCTTTGCAGGAAATCTAGATACAAACTTTGCAAAGCCTTCAGGGACACCATGGGACAGTATCAAACTAGAGTCCCAGACTAACTGCACAAACATACATTGACTATGGCAAGGCTTACATGATATAATGGGTTACAAAGCAAAGTCGAGTTGAACTGCTGACAACAATGCGACCCTCCTCATTGAGCTCAATGTATTCTTTGTTCATTTTGAACAGAAGGTCAGTGAAATGATGTCACCTGCCCCGACAGTCTTGGGTGCACCTGTTTCTTGACATGGAGGCGACCAAGTTTATTTAACACTGATATCAACAAGCATAGGGATTTAAGAAGGTGACTGAGAAAGATCAAAAATGTCATACTTCTGCATAAAAATGATTGCAAACGCCTCAGTTTTATCTGGTTTTATATATGTGGAAGAGGACTTTTGTTAACTCTCCTCATTAGATGCTTATACATGATTGCACATGGGTGCAGCCTTCTTGAGAGTGAACCCACTGTAAGTGACTGGCCGGGATGGAGACCCCGACCATGCACTCAGATCCTGCGCAAATCAGCTGGCAGGAGGTTTGCAGACATAGATCATAGAATCATAGAATCCCTACAGTGTGGAAACAGGCCCTACAGCCCAGCCAATCCACACCAACCCTCAGAGCATCCCACCCAGACCCATCCCCCTATGACCTATCTAATCTACACATCCCTGCACACTACGGGCAATTTAGCATGGCCAATCCACCTAACCTACACATTTTTGGACTGTGGGAGGAAACCAGAGGAAACACACGCAGACACGGGAAGAATATGCAAACTCCACACAGACAGTCGCCCGAGGGTGGAATCGAACCCGGGTGCACTCTCCTTGCTATGACCTGAGGTTCTCACCTGCCTCAAGAAGACAAGTATCATCCTGGTGTCAAAAATCAATCAAACGACCACCCAGTAGCTCTGACGGCCATCAGATGAAGTGCTTTGAGAGGTTAGTAATGGCATACATCAACTCCAACCCCCCTCAGATTGCCTTGATCGACTGCATTGTGCCTACCCTCACAGTAGGTCCACAGCAGATGCCATCTCCCTGGCTCTTAACATTCATCCCTGGAACATCTGGATAAGAAGGAAATCTACATCAAACTCCTATTTATTGACCCTCGCTCTGCCCTCAGCACCATGATTCCAACCGAACGCATCTCCAAACTCCAAGACCTAGGACTGTGCTCCTCTCTCTCTCTGCAACTGGATCCTGACTTCCTGAAAATCAGACCACAAACAGTGAGGATTGGCAACAACACCACCTCCATGATAATCCTCAAGACCAGTGCCCTGTAAGGCTGCGTACTCAGCCCCTTACTATACTCCTTATACACTCACAACTGTGTCACCAAATACAGCTCTAACTCCATTTACAAATTTGCGAATGACACCTCTGTAGTGGGTCGGATCTCAAACAACGACATGACAGAGTACAGGAAGGAGATAGAGAGCTTAGTGGCCTGATGTAAAGACAACAATCTCTGCCTCAATGTCAGCAAAATGAAGGAACTGGTGATTGACTTAAGGAAATGGAGTGGAGGACACGATCCTGTCTACATCAGCAGTGCTGAGGTGGAGATAGTCCAGAGCTTCAAACTCCTAGGAGTAAGTATCATCAACAATCTAGCCTGGTCCATCTATGTCAATGCTATAGTCAAAGCACACAAACACATCTATTTCCTCCGAAGACAAAGGAAATTGGGCATGTCCACAATGACTTACCAATTTTTATAGATGCAGCATAGAAGGCATTCTATCGAGATGCATTGCAGTTTGGTGTAGCAACTGCAGTGCCCAACACCGCAAGAAATTAGAGTTGTGAACACTGCCCGTTGCATTCCAAAAACCAGCCTTCCTCCATTGATTCCTTCTACACTTCCCACAGCCTCGGGAAAGCAGCCACCATAATCAAAGACCCTTCCCACCCTGATTATACTCTCTTCCACCCTCATTCAACAGACAGAAGATACAAAAGTTTGAAAACATGTACCAACAGATTCAAGAACAGCTTCTTCCCTGCTGTTATTAGAATTACGAATGAACCTCTCATTTTGAGTTGATCTTTCTCTGGATCTTCTCTGTAGCTGTAACATTATTCTGCATTCTGTTCTATTACTCTGATGTACTTAACTTAAGTATGATTTGTCTGGTCAGCATGCAAAACAATACTTTTCACTGTACCTCAGCACATGTGACAAAATAAACCAAATCAAAGTTTATTCCACTGCACTCATTATTTCTTAGGCAATGAAGTAATCCATTCCTGCATGCTTATGTGTGGTGCGAAAGTTAGGTGCCACTCAAGTATAAGACAAGACTATCTCCAAGAAAGGTCTTAATATCTGCCCATTGACATTCAATGTCAATACCCTAGCTAAATCCCCCATATTTTGGAACAAAAACAGAAGACTTGTATTCTGTTGTGGTTCTCATGACCACTGAACATCTTGAAGTATTTCACAGCCAACAAATTACTTTTTGTAGAAAATGCAACAGTCATTTTTACACACGGCAAACTCCAACAGCAATGTGATAATAACTGAATAATTTAGTTCTGTGATGTTGAGGGATAAGTTTAGGTCACGAAATTGGGGATAAATCCCTTGCTCTTATTTAAAAAATGCTGCCATGCAATCTTTTACATTCACCAAAGCAGGCCTCATTTTAACATCTAGTTTGAAAAAGCACCCCCAGCAGCACAGTATTCCCTCAGTATGACATTGGAGTATCAGTATTAGAGTATCAGTATTTGTGGAATGGGACAAGAAACCAGAACCTTGTTTTACAAACATGAAATTTATAATTTATGTTTTTGGGCATTCTTAAGATTTAAGGTAAAATATAGCAGTGAAGGGTGCTATGTGAATCTGCTCTGAATCCTGCTTGTGACAATAAGCCTGATTGGCTGGGTTGTTATGGTTTTAGTGAAGGCCAGATTGATTTACTAGGAAGAAAGTGCAAGATTGCCGGAAAAAAAGATCATTTTGGTAAAGCTTTTGTCTTGTACTCATCAGGACATTCACAAGAATACCAACGTAATGGGGATCAACATTTTAAAAATTATTCTGTATGAGAAAGTCATGTTGATTGTTTTTCAAGTAGACTCTGATTGGTAGAGATGTGGCCATGGACGATTTACCAGGTTTCTGGTGATTGATCATTAACTGCCAAGCTTTGTTTAAATTTAAACCAGGAAGGTTGACTCCATTTATACACACACTTATATATGTCAAGCGTAATTAATGAGTGTATATGACTTTGGTTTGTATTTTTGCATTGATCTAATTTTGATTTTATACTTCAGTTTGTTAAAATATGTTTTTGCAAGGTAAAACCCTTTCTACTTAACGACCCCCCATCTCCCCAATAAAAAGTTTATGTAATCTTTTATAAATTCCTCATGTTATGTTTCTCAAACATATTACTTGCATCATGTTCACCTAATTTTCTATTTGTAGCTGTATTTTACTTGAATTATCCTGTGATTTACTTGATTTAGATGCTGGGGACACTGCTTATAACTATTATCTTTTTGCTGTTTTCTTTGTAGGTTTGGATATCAGACCTTAAACTATAGGTTGTTCTATGATGGAAAGCATTTTGTTGGTGAGAAGCGTTTTGAGTCGATTCATGATTTAGTGACTGATGGTTTGATAACACTTTACATAGAAACTAAAGCATCTGAGTATATTTCAAAGATGACTACGAATCCCATCTATGAGCACATAGGATATGCCACGCTGTTGAGAGAACAAACTTCAAAAAGACTGATTAAAGCAAAGCATGACAGTAGGAAGATGTCCTTGATGAATGATGAGAACAGTTCAGTTGAAAAGGTAAGAATTTCCATTTGTTTTTGTTTTTCTTGTTGCCATGGAAATGGTTATTTCATTGTGTTATTTTTACAGTTTCACGGTTTCTCCGTTCTGTTACTTATGTCCTGCTTTATGTCATTAGCGTCATACGTTTTGAATTTCATGGGATAATACTCTGCGATTGCTTTACAAATACCTCATCTATACTACAAAACAAAATACGTTTGCAACACTATACCAATTAGGTTGTTATGTTACCTGTGCTGTACCGCTCAATCTTCACTGTATTTATTGGGAACGTCAATTTAAGGGTCATGTTAAACATTTGCTTATAGTGAATAAATCATGCACGAAATAACGCTTTGTAGTTCAGAGATAGTAGGAACTGCAGATGCTGGAGAATCCGAGACAACAAG